GGCAGCCGGCGCAGGACCAGGGAGCTGGGAGGAACCGGGGGCTCTGCACCCCCCTGCCCACCGCCAAGCGCTCACCGGGAGCCGCGGGGTCGGTCCTTCCTGCTGGATCGGTCCATCCCATCGGATCAGCCCGTCCATCCCATCGATCAACCGGTCCATCCCGTCGGATCAGCCGGTCCATCCCGTCGGATCAGCCCATCCCACTGGATCGGTCAAGTCCATCTCACCAGACTGATTGGTCCATCCCATCGGATCAGGGTGTCCATCCCGCCGGATTGGTTGGTCCATCCCATTGGATTGGAGGGTCCCATCCTGCTGGATCAGTCGCTTCATCCCGCCGGAGCAGTGGGTCCATCCTGCTGGATCGGTTGGTCCATCCCACCGGATTGTTGGGTCCATCCCATCGGATCAGTCGGTCCCATCCTGCCAGATCGGTCAAATCCATCCCATCGGATTGTTGAGTCCATCCCATCAGATTGGTTGGTCCATTCCACCGGATCGGTTGGTCCATCCCATCGGATCATTGTGTCCATCCCACCGGATCGTTGGGTCCATCCCACTGGATCATTGGGTCCATCCCATCGGATCATTGGATCCATCCCACCGGATCATTGGGTCGATCCCATCGCATCGTTGGGTCCATCCCATCAGATCATTGGGTCCATCCCATCGGATCATTGGATCCATCCCACCGGATCATTGGGTCGATCCCATCGCATCGTTGGGTCCATCCCATCAGATCATTGGGTCCATCCCATCGGATCATTGGATCCATCCCACCGGATCATTGGGTCGATCCCATCGCATCGTTGGGTCCATCCCATCAGATCATTGGGTCCATCCCACCGGATCGTTGGGTCCATCCCATCGAATCGTTGGGTCCATCCCATTGGATCATTGGGTTGATCCAACCGGATCATTAGATCCATCCCACCGGATCATTGGGTCCATCCCATCGGATCATTGGGTCCATCCCATTGGATCATTGGGTCGATCCAACCGGATCATTGGGTCCATCCCACCGGATCATTGGGTCCATCCCATCGGATCATTGGGTCCATCCCATTGGATCATTGGGTCGATCCAACCGGATCATTGGGTCCATCCCACCGGATCATTGGGTCCATCCCACCGGCTCAGTCCTTCCCACCCTCTGCCCATGGCCGCCCTCTTCACCGGGAAAATCCTGACGGTCAACCGGGAGCAGGACGAGTTGGAGACGGACCGGGAACTGCTCCGGGCGCTGGAGAACAAGGTTTTGCTTCTTTACTTCGGCTCCGCGCAGTGCCCGCGATGCCGCCGCTTCTCCCCGCTCCTCAAGGAATTTTTCATCCGTCTCACCGACGAATTTTACGTGGAACGAGCCTCGCAGCTGGCGCTGGTCTACGTGTCCCGCGACGAGACGGAGGAGCAGCAGAGCGCCTTCCTCCAAACCATGCCGCGCCGCTGGCTGGCCGTGCCCTTCGGGGACGCTTTCAAAAGGTACGCGGCCGCTTTTTCAAATATTTTTTAGGCTTTTCCAATTTTTTTCCTGCATTTTCCAATCCCTCCTCGAGCGGTCGGTGTAGTCTGTTAATGGAAAAAAAAAAAAAAATTAAAAATCTTTTTGGCTGATTTATAAAACAAAAATATTTTTTTCTTCTTTCCACCTCGCTGCTTTTTGCCGATAAATTTTTATTCTGCTTTGATAACGTCGCAGAATCCGTCCCGCATCTCCCGTAGCCCGGCGGAGGCAATGCCCAAATCCCCTTTTTCCCTTTTTCTGGAAAATCCGCGTCGGGCTCTAATCAGCAAGCCCAAAAGGGGAGCCGGTTCCGTTCGGCAAATAAACTCTGCCGACACCCGTCCGCACCAGAAATGGTGAGGATGAGGAGCGGCGAGGACGATGGGATGGCAAAAACCTTCGTGATTTGAGCTTTCTTCCCTCTTTCCCCCTATTTATTTTCCCCTATTTTTTTCTATTTTCCCCTATTTATTTCCCCCTATTTTTCCCTATTTATTACCCCCTATTTTTCCCTAATTATTTTTCCCTATTTTCCCCTA